TTTTTTTTGTGGTATGATTTGTGGTCACTGTTACTGTGCCGGGGCAAAGCCCAAATGATATCTATCTATATATAACAAGAAGTATATGTATTTGGGCACTTCCTTGTCATTGGACATCAACAGCTGAAGTGTCATTTGTAAATGTCGCTCGCATTTGTTTGTCATGTCCAACCATGAATCTTCAGGATCATGGATTGCTGTAACATTGGCTGCGTGGACAAAATGTGGGTGACCATGGTGGATTTTCGTTGAGACTTTGACCATCTTTGACCACATCATATCAGTTGAGTTCGGCACCTCTGAATGACATAACATAGATTCGTCCCAGCGATTCGACAGTGTGAGTTGCCGCTGAAAGGGCTGGATGGCTGGGGTATTCTCAACTCTGAGATTTTTTGCAACTCAGGGCTGGACCCAAAGTCCATCAAGTCGAGGTGTTTAGCTGTCTTGGTGCCGAATTCTTGCTTGGTCGGATGTTTTCGTGCATGCTCATGCTCGAGCCTCCGTGGCAACGGCTCAAAGAAGAAACGGCCCAAGAACCCGACTAAAGGCGATCTGCTGCCATGCAGCAGCAAAGTTGGGGAGCCAGTCATTTGCCGTTCTTGGCAGTGGGGCGCGTGAAGGACGGATCAACGTGAGTTGGCGCTTGAGCTAAAACCACTGTGTTTTGTGGCGATCACCTGTGGAACAAACCTCTTGGTGATGAAAGACAATTGCATGGACTTGGTAATTTGGGAATGTGGAAATTTGCAATACTTGGCATAGCCTGGGTGATTTGTACTGCTAGCGCTGGTCAGTTGAGTGCTTTTTGCACGCTTTGCAACCTGTGTGAGAAGCCATGGTTCATCAGTAATCAAGGGTTGGATTTGATGCTTGTTGATGACGAACTTCTGGTGGTTCGATTATTTGTTCAATGATCCTATAACTAGCCTATAACTATAACTCGTTTCTGCCTGCGCATAGTGGAATCCACAGTCGCTGGTCATTGATGAAAGGCGCCTGCAGCCTAGTGTAGGTGATGTCATGGACAGGTGTGTGTCAGATCCATCACAGCAGGAACGCTTCCAATAGAGCAGTGGAATTTCATTTGTCAGTTTGGATTGACGCCTGACTCCAGGAACACCACTCTGGGAATAATGTTTGAATGTGTTGCTGGTTGCAGAGTTTGGCGCAGTTTTCCTGATTCCTTGTGTATATAAGCAGTTGCCCTGTCAAACAGCAGATGAATGGCCCCATCATAGAACTTCAGGACTTTCGCACCGTAGTTCACGGATGTTCACTAGTTGGTTGAGAGGGACCTCCAGAAACATACAGATGTATACGTATATGTATATTTATATGTATTGTTTCATATTGACTCTTGATTAATAAACCCTCCATACGAAAAGGCTTTACAATCTAAATGGAGGGTTATTGATCAAGAGTCTACGTACAAATACATATTCCTGTTTTTTTCCCGTTGGTTCAAGCATGCTGTGTCGAATCCATGGATCTCCATTCCTCGCTTCTTACAACATCATTACCAATGAACTGGGCTCCAGTGCTTGAAAGGTTTTCGGGATGACTGGATTTAGAGATCCCGATGTGACCTGTATGAAGGGCATCCACCAGACAATCTCATCAATCACCAATTTGCTTGTGAACTCCAGCTAGCAGGACAGCATCACCCTGGCTTATTACATTGAGACCGACAACGCTGAGCAGCAGGAACGGAACGGGTCCCTGCTGAGGGCCAGGAGGTCATCTCAGTTGCTGTGTTCATTGTGCCGAATGGGGATGCTGGTGGTGCTCTTTAGGCTTCGCCTGCCGTAGGTCGTAGGTTGATTCGCTTCCCCCTCGAGCTCCTTACACATTTGCAGCAAGCATGGCATTCGGTGGATCTTGGAGGATGCATCCGTTTCAAAGAAGTGCATGTTAGGTGCCTGCAAACATTTGATCTTTTGATTACGTCGCCCCAGCCTCCCAGCTTCCCCACAACCACACATTCTTTTTTGTCAAAGAGTTTGCAGGAGCAAACTCAAGAAGTTTTCCAGAAGCTGCTCAAGGCTGGCTGAAGCTTCCAAAACCTTGCAGGAGTCAGAGCCCTCATATTCTCGTAGCTTCTGGCTTCAAACTTGACAGCAGTCGCAACCTGCAGCTGGCTTGCTACTGTAGCTCTGAGCTGAGGGCAGAAACCAATGTTCCCAACTTGCAAGTCTCTGGATCAAAGACAACACAAAGGTCTCTCACCTCATGCTTGCGATGCACAAGCAAATTCAAGGATTCTTGTGCGCACACCCACTTAACTGCTTCGTGTGGAAACCTCACGAAACGCCCCTTGCACCAGCTTCGGATGTATGATCAATATGTGGAATCCTTACCGCCATCAAAAAGTCAGACTGGATGACCGCGATTGCAGAGGCTTCTTCCCAGAAGCTGGCTGCTGGTCAAAGAACTCGGCTGCAGTGGAACAATGGCAGTGTGCGGTCTCCAGCGAAGCGTGGTGTGCGGTCGAATCTCGCTTCAGGGATCGCTTCCCACCGAAATCGCTGAAATCGATGAGGATTTGTCAGAATCGAACGGTTGTGAGCTGGGAAGCCGCTGCTTTTGAGGAAGCTTGAAGCAGCAACGCACCAATCCCATTCCAACTATTGGCTGTGACCATAGCCTTCAATGTGAACAGACCTAACAAGGCCTCCTCTAGTCCCTCTAGTCCCCGAAACTCTATATAGATGTGGGGCCGTTTTTAGCTCGGCAGGGATTGCAATCGCCGCACAACAAAGAATCTTCTTTGGAGGTCTCCATTGTTTGAAACATTCTTCTCTCTATATCACGTTCTTCAGCATACCTATGACTGAGCCTGGTGTCAAGGTTTGCTGCTTGATGGACGAGCAGGCCCGACTACTCTACTGCGTGGTGCCTGCCTCAGGTCACCATGAACAAAGTAAAGATCTGCGGTTGCCATGTGTGTGGGCAGACTGGGAAGCTGTGAGCATGGCCAACGGGAGACTGGGAAAGACAGTGCATCAGACGTGCTTGGGTGAACAAAACACTGTTGATCAAAGAAATGGGTTGGAACAGATTTTCTGGACATTTAGGGCTCCTCGAACCCTCCGCCCGAATGTTGTCTGTGTTTCTTCAACTCAGTGTCCAACGAGTGAGTGTTCCAGTCAATTTGGCGGGCCGCTTTGAAGCGGACATCGGTTTCCACACGGTATTTTTCCACGGGCCGTTCAATCGGCATGGGCCATGGGTATTAAGAATTCAGGATCAACAACAAATCATTATCAGGACCAACAGAACATTATTATTATGAATGAAAACAAGCATTTTTATCTCATGAGTCCCTTTAGCCCATTTTGAACATTTAACCACCCAACCCCCGTTCCGCGTCTCCTGGCCTACCACCAAATCACATATTTAGGTGGAAGCGATTCGGTGGCTGGATAATGGAGCAACTTACTCATGGCTCGGCTTTAGATGGGCGAGCCGACTATGCACACACACACAACAGGTAGCAAAAAAGACAATGTATAGATAGAAGATTTGCCTCTCTGTGCATGCAGAAGCTTACTATGATCATGACCTGCTTTCACGTGGAACACCTACCCCATGTTACGTTTTCATGACCTGTGAATATTACCAGCAGGAGCCAAAACAATAGGCTCTCTTTGTGTGCTTCTGGTTCTGCCAGAAAGCATTCTCTTTCTGTGAGCTAACCCGAAAAGCCCTGGACAAGTTTTAGGCCATCGCACTCTCTTTCAATTCTGGTTTAGGAATATTTTTTCGTCTCAATTCTCAACACGTATAGTTTTGATCTGCCGGGGATATTTTTTAGATTCTGATAGTAGTTTTGATCCTCTTACTCGATCAATAGAGTGCAGATCGAGTGGTCATCCCACACCGGTCGTGAAGTTTGTCCCTGGCCCTACCCGGTATTACAGTTGTCCCATCAAAGAAGTTGTTATCAAAGGGCCAGAATTGGAGAAATGCTGACGTGTCGATAATTTCATACCCATTATCAGGATATTCAGAGACAACTTCAGGAAATCCAACACATACTTAGAGACCATAGAGATCATGAGAACAAAACATGTACGACCATTAGGCATTCTCTTCGGCCAACCTTCGATCTTCAGATCCGACTCCGGTGGGGTGATGCCGCCACGCTCCAGAGCGACAAGGTGACCTCTTCGTTGTCATATCCAGAGCGACAAGCCTATCAGCTGCTCTACGGTTGGCCTGGCATTTTGCATGCCATGCAGATCCTCTAATAGAATGATGCGGTTTTTGTCCTCCAGGAATGTATTATGAACTTCGCAACCGCTTGGCAAAAGGACCATAGTACTATGAGGAAGGTTGATGACCTTCATAGAATTGGCCAAAGGCACAGTTGATGACCATTCGTAGACGTGACCGGATCAGCAAGCGACAGTATTTCATCAATCAAGTTGTGACCAAACTTGTGACGGGTGCAAGAAGAGCTAGCATTCTAAGCTTTGGTATTGCCTTTCCTGCTGGACCTTCAAAACTTCTTTGGTGAAGCTGTGCCACACCACCGTGCCACACCTGCTCACCTGCAAGCTCGCCAGATTTTCGGGGCCTAGTGGAGCGGGACAACACCAATGAATTGGACGAGTCCGAAGCTCATTCCTTGCTGCTCGGCAAACAGATGCGCAGCCCAGCCCCATGTTCTGATGTCCGACTCGTCCTCCACGGCACTGAGGGTTCCTCAGAAGCACGCCCGAGACCTGTTTCTAGCGATATTCTGTAGTATCCGTTCAGATAAAAATTTGATCTGAGCAAACATTCGGTATCAACACCATGTTCATTGAGCGTGACCCTATTGAATTGCTAACATGTCTCACATTAACGGGGTCTAGCTTTCCCGATTCGCAGCTTTTGTGGGGATCTCGCCAGTATTCTCGGTTCTTTCATCTTGTTTTTTCACCAACTACCCTTCCTGGAAGCTAAGGAACGACAAGCTTGAGGCTCCGATGAGGGAGCTGGTGAAGAAGTACGAAAACGTGCAGGCGTGTCTGGTTTGGTCAATCCGGTCGTTCATGGTGTGTTAACGCTATTCAGCTCACTCACTGTTTGTATAATCAGCCATCGAACCACAAACCTGGCGAGAGTCTTTTTCAGGACTCTTCTTTGTTGGGAAAATCTTATCCCGAAGCGGGCTGTGCGCAGCTTGTTCGAACCTCACCTGGTCCAGGATGGAAAGATGTCCACCACGAACATTCCGGACACTTCCTCCGTACGGACCCTGAGTCGGGTTCATGTGCGAAGCAGCGAATCGTTTGCGTAAACCAAGACACGATGGAGTTGCCATTATCATGGTCATCCTCCCCCCGTGGGGGGCGGTGGCGGTGACCTAGATGGTAGCCTGGCCCCTTGGCGCAACAATCAAGGTCTCGACGAAGGAATCAACTCAAAGCTTTGAAGGGATTGGATTTATAATCTTACCGGTTGGCTTTTAAACAATTTCCTTTAGACATTTCTCCATTACATCGCTACCAGGGTGGAGACCATCGCTACTAAGGTGGAGGCCATTGCCATTAGGTTTCTCTCTAGGTTGATGTTTGGGAGCTTGCATTTTTGTTCAGTCAACGACCCCAGAAAGGAACTGAGATGGTCATGGTTGCTCTAGAAACAGCCAGAGACTGTAGGTGTGTGTCGCAGTGCAGCATTTTTTCAAGGGGGACAATGATACTGTTGGGGTGGAAATCTCACTACCAGTGCCATTTTCAGAGCCTAAACCTGTTGCAGAATACATACCGCTTCCGTTGCAGATCTGACCAGCCACCTCTCCCCACCGGAGCCGCAAGGCACCCTGTTGTGCAAAAGCCGGTGCCGTGCAAAAGCCAAGGCACCCCTGAATCATCAAGATTTGCAGGCGGCCAACGGAAAGAAGTTTGGGATCCCAGGATGGAATTGGGGTGATTAGCCAAGGCAGGATGGAGAATGCCCAAGGGTTCAAAAGTGTGTTTACTCTTGGTGGCTTCGGCCAGCTTTGTTTCTTCTGTTCATGCACAAGAGTGCCCTAGTCATTTGCGTGACATGTCGTTTTTCCAGACAGCTTGTTTTCTGAAGTCCGGGCAGCGGATGTGGGTTCTCGAACCTGGTTGAAGTCTGTGAGAATCCGAAAGAAATTGGGACTCTGTGCCTCCATTGCCATTGTTCATTTTTGGACCGGCCCAGAGTTCCTTCCAGGGAGTTCAAGTAGAGGCAGCGGATTACGATTGCTAGGCAAGGTGGGTTATGTTGGGTTTGCCACGGAGACTTGGTGAGGGACCATTGGAAGACGGCCTAGTGCATGAAATGATCCAACTTGTGGTGCCACCCTCCAGCTGACTATATGTATGTATATATCCAATATTCACCTCACACAGACGTCCCGGCCAAGGTGGATCCTACTGGTCGCGGTTGCTGCCCGGGCCCCCAGCGGGTGCAGGCCGCGTAGCAACGGGGACACGGTGAACTCGGAAGAAGCTTCTGAGGGTGTGCCCGGTGTTTTGGGGTGGTGGCACCATTGTCAGAGCTGGAGGTTGTTCCCCTTCAAGGCACTTTGGCTTGTTCGTTCAGAGCGAGCATTTCAATAGGCTGTTTGGGCAGTAAGACCTGCTCCAGGTAACAGTAGCTGTGAAGTAGGCGTGCTTTTTATCAGCTTGTTTGTGTGTTGGGAACGTTTTCGCAAAGACGCGGCTGGTAAGTGTGGGTTCATTCACCTCTGAGGTTGTCATCATCTTGATATTGTACTTCATGTTCGGCAGGCCAAAATCCGCGTGATAAGGGCATTGTGGAGCAAGAAAAACACATCCTGCATCATCTCTTCTGGGTAAGCCTATTGACAGTAAGTCTTGCTAATGGGCCTTATGTACCAAGCACGACTTGATCCTCTTGTCTAAGTATATAGGGCATGTGAGCCAGTTCACGCTCATTGGTATTGGACGCTTGAAGGTCATTTTTTGTAGGCTAACAGGCTTGATTTATACAGTTGTGAAACTGTAGTGTTTCAGGGGTCTAGGTTGGGGGGTTCGGCTCGCAACACTTCTGAGACAAGCCTTTCGTCTTTGCAGGATTGTTGGATGTTCTTGTCGCTCGAAAGGTGGCATTTAAGCCTCAATGTGGAAGGTTACATTAGGCTACAACACAGAAGACTAAGATCCACTTCCAAGTTACTTGGATCGAAATGAAGAAAAGGGAACCCGTAAGGAAGCGCGACACCGACAACTACCATCGCCCTTGTCCTGCAAGGGGCTCAAGTGACTCAAGTGAGAAGAAAGAGGACGAGAAGACGCAGATCATCTTTCGTTTTCTATGAGGACGGCGGATCCTTGCTCAGTGCTGGGCCGCCTTGGTTACGAAGGATTTCAGATTTCTACATATTTGCCGGGATGTCTCAAAGCAGTCAAGTGCATCAACAAAAATTTCAAAGGGCTAGATTGATGGGTCTGGGGTGTTTGTTGGGATTACTCACATGTGTGCTGGGTTCGCAAGAGGGTTTCAGAAGAGGCCCCTAGAGCGGACGCGAAGCCACAGTATGACTGGAAGGGGGAGTCCTTAAGGTGTCTGGGCCACTAAGAGAAGGTCACTTGCTGTTCAAGGTTGATGCACCCCTCAAAGGCTCCTTTGGTTTCATTTCAACATTTTCAACGACAACGACTAACTATGACTAACCCATCCCTTATTTAGCCGAGAGACAATAGTCAAGAGCAGACCGCATGTGTTTAAGTTCTTTTGTCCTTGTCAACTGCTTCTTCTGAAAAACTAAAGTTTGTCAAACCCCCAGCTGTGCCCAGAGCAAAAGGACCCTTCTTCAGGTCCCTTGTGTGTGTGTGGGTGACATCCCTTCCCGCGCATACTCTGCATACCGACTCCAAGAAACGTCGGCATGATTTCGGAAAGCCTCTTTCGACCAAGAGCGGGTGAGGGATGGCTGTTTACTGTTCCATTATAGAGGGCGAAAGCAGGGGGAGGTGACTTGCATTTAGCGTGAAGAGCTTGACACCGACACCATTGGGTCGAAGGGTCCTTGCTAAGTGGTCTGCTGTTTTAGTGTCTTCTGGATGGCTTGCATTGTAAAGTGACAGGGTTGTATCTTCTGACACTTAGTTTTGTTTTGAGCATGCAGCATCCCCTTAAACTCAGTGTGGGATTGTCTTACTATAAGCACCTCACACCCTTAAACCACGACGACGAGGGAACATAGACAAATGGCCTCCTCCCTCTGCAGATCCCTGGCTTCCAAAGGCCTCTCTTTTTCACAGCGCGTGAAGAGTCTCACCAGCCCAGTTGGGCCATCCCTTCGCTCGACTGACGAGTGTGTGGAAAAAAACCATGAGCCGGAAGATTCAACCAGTGTCACGCGAGGTCGTGCCATTCCAACTTGCATGTTTGCGAAGGTCACAAAATCTGCCAAACTTGCTGCAGTGGCACAGCACAGCCTGCGCAAAGCATTTGAACACAGAGCAGTAGAGCAGCTGTTGTTTGTTCTTTGTCAGAGGGTCCTTGGATGTTCCTCTAGGATTCGAATCACGCATTGAACTCACACATGTCACAAGTTGGTTTTAGTCATCTGACTGAGTCAACCACGACTGTCCTACAGAAAGAGTCCCTGCCAATCATTTGGCGGAGCACTTTTGGCCCCTCGGCGAAGGTGGTGAAATACTGACTTTAGTTCTTCCTTACTTCCCAAATTATCACCAGTAGGACTACAAAAGACAAGGGCTAAATCTTCTCTCCAAAGAAACCTTTAATGTTTTTGATAGTGCGCACTTTTGGATGATTGCAAAGAGATAACACATATATGAAATGTTAACGATGCTTAGACAACGCATTGGCATCATTGACATCATCATTGTGTGAAATATATATATTTGCTATCTTTTGAGCATCGACAATTGAATTAATTTATGTTGCGTGTCTATTACTTTGTGCAAGGCATTTTTGGCTTTCAATAATGCTGAACATGTTATCTAAATGCTTTAGCATAGTTAGCAGTTGATTTGATATTTATCTAAATAGAAGGCTTGCAAAACGCTGTCACTCCACCTTATGCACAGATGAATGCCTTGTTCTCCTGGCTCCCTGCTGTTCAGGTGGGCAGATGTTAGCCCTTCCGCCCACTGCGCAGGCTGGGTCGGTTCGGTCGTTCTGCTCCTTCCCATCGAACGTAGCCCTGGAACCAACCCGGACATCACCTTAAATTTTGCTTTGCTGATTGCATGCAAGAATAGAGATATTAGTGCATGCTGAGTGATTGATGCTATCTAGGTAAAGTTCTACCAAACTGTTGTGGCACCCTCTTATGCACCTTCAGATGTCATTCTTGGAGAGAACTTACTTCTGAACAATTGTCAGTTTGAAGAATAGACTGAGGATCATCAATTTGCCAGACTACCCCAAAGCATTCAAAAAAGGCTGTGAGACAGTGAGACCTTCAGACATCCAGATCTTCTTTTGACACCTGGCCCATCTCTGCTAGCTATCGTTCACCGAGCTTGCCGAACTGAATGAAGATTTGATCTCCGCAACTTTCACACCGAGAAAAGAACAACCCCGAACAAGGAACAAAGCAAGACTGAACAAGGCTAACCCGTTTTGGGGTGCCGAGTCATAAACTCGCAACGACCAAGAGCCTGAAACTGAACCAATAAATGAGCATCTATCCCTCTCTCATTTTCCTCCAAGGCCGGGCTTGAGACCTTTGTGGGCACTAAGGTCTTGGTTTTTTTCCCTGGTGATGTCTTTTGAGCCATGTCTTTAAATCACTTGCGCAGGGTGGGTCGAAGACCCTCGCCCTGCCCAATTGCTCCTTCGACAAGAGGCGGGGCTTAATCCGAGGATGGCTGAACTGTGTTGGGGATGGGACCAGTGAGAATGAGGGATGTGACACCAAGGCTGATTCTTTCCGACTTATAATATAGTTTTGGACCAGAACTGTTGCAAGGTTCTTTGGTCCTCTCGGCAGCACTTCAACTATATAATACCGTTATATACCCAACCGACTCAACCGACTGGTTGGGTTCGACCTGAGTGATGCAACTTGAACAGGGTGGTCTTATTTGATGTCCGACTGGGCTGTGCGATACCCATCCATTTGTTACTAGTAGCTTCTTGTTACTAGTAGGAATGGCCTCCACCCTAATAGCGATGGCCTCCACCTAGTAGCTTCTAGCTACTAGTAGCCTCTTGTTACTAGTACCTTACACCCTTTTTTTAAAGGGCTCATGGTGGGCGTCGGGATCAATTGCTTTTTGCAGTCATGTGATTGACGCCATCCTCAGGATGGGTAGAACACTGAACGCCTCAAATTGTTGCTTTTGTTTTCAATTTGGCCTCGTGTAGTTTCAAGGCAGAACCTGCGCCCTCTGTCCATCTGGTGTTGGGTCATCAAGTGTTCTCGAAAGGAGGAATTGGAAACATCAAGTCCCAAGATGCAGTATGCAAAGGTTCCGTACTGCATCTTGGGACTTTGAGGGCGATCCCATTTATTTCTCTTGGTGCAGCTTGGTGCGCCAGGGATGTGTCCTTCTCCCAGCGAGTGCCTGTGGAGGAAGCGAACCATGGGGCCGGGGAATCAGACACGACGGTCGCCTGGCGCCAAACGGCGAACGTCCGGGGTGTTTGAGCTGAGGTGATTTTGGTGCAGCAGTTCTTTGGGGCACCACATGTGCCAGGTGAGGAGGCCAGGTGAAGCAGGGATGAAGAACCGACCTTTTTGCAAATAATTTCTAGTTATATACCATGAGCAGACATGGCACGTCGCACCCTCAGATCGTGCGCTACGACGACTACGTGCGCAACCATGACTGGCGACGCATTGGGTGGCTGAACGAATTTGGCCCGCTGAGATGGGTGGGTGGTGTTGAAACTTGAAACCAAGTCTACATTTTTTTGGTCATGGGAGTGCATGCAATTTTATTCGCAATGGTGACCATTACAACTGCGATGTTGATTGGCAGTTGTTTACAAATCTTAATGGATGTGCACTTTTAACCATGACTTCGTTTTGTGCGTCTCAAGCTTAGTGGATGTTTTCGTGGGGTGCTGTCGCTGAAGGGCTGACTGCCCTTGCATCCTTCAGCTCCTCTCTTGGCTGTCCTGCTCATTGCCATCCCTCCTTGGCCTTGCCTCTGGTCACAGGGTTGAGCCTTGGATTTGTTTTGGGCCTTGGATTCGGGCTTTGGTTGGCTCTTTTCCTGTTCAGAGGACCAGGAGCTCTTCCTATTCCTCCAGTGGCTGTCAATCCCTCTGGTGCCCCTGGAATCTCCACACCGTCCTCCACCAAAGTCCAACCCCTCACACCTTGCAGAGAAGCTGACCTGCTCGGAGATGCTGGCCTCTGAGGTGAAGTATCCTGAGTGGATTGCCTCTCAACTGCAACTGTGAGATCACGGAGTGCCCGGGTCAAAGCTTGCAGGTCCACTTGCAAAGAGGAAGAAGCAGGCTCACTGATTAAGTTTGAAAGTGGCCCTCCGGACACTCCGCTCTTCTGCATTGAGGCCGCTCGTCGTCACTTGTCATCTTCCAAGGCACACTTTGAGGACCGTGCTCGTGAGGCCTACAAGGCCGGATTCTGGGCCCGAGCGTTTTGGGCGTGCCATTCAGAAGGGGTCAGCCAGTATAAGCCTGGACTCCAAGCTACTCACTGGGTATTGCGCAAAGGTGACGGATTTGACCTTCTCAGGGTGACCTCTCAACGAGATTGTGATCGCCTGGTTCGGGACTTTGAGGACATCGTCTTTGTTGAGAAGATCCCCACCTTGACGGAGCTGCATATTTTCTGTGCCGGTGCAACCGTTCCTGTGCCACCTCTGTGGCGATGGAGCGGAGGGTTTTGAGGAGCGCAGCCGAGAATTCAGATCCTTCATTGTTGATCCTCAATGTTCCAGCTGAGATATCTACCAGTGGAGGTGATTTGCAAGTGTTTGCATGCCCAGTTGATTTGCGGAGAGGAGGAATGCTTTTGGTCATACCTGTTGGAGTTATTCGTGATGATATTCTGGCAGGTGGGGCTATGGCAGGAGAGGATGATCTGTTTGGCCCATCTCGAGTCTTTGAGGTGGACATGACGGATGAGGACGAGAGCGGTGCCATCTTTTTGGCTGGCTTTCAGAGTGAGGTTTTGGTATTGGACACTACAGACGCTGTCTTAGACTATTTGAGGGAGTACGATCCCGTGACAGACTCCTTGGAGGCTATTACTCCCTTTTCAGATGGTCTTGCGACAGCTCTTCCTTCCATGCCGGATCTTTTGGCTCTGGCAAAGACATGGGCTCGTGAGGAGACCGTTGCTCGGATCCATTTTTACAGTGCTCGAGAGGAGCCGTTGGGAAAGACTGCGCCTGCCAAGAAAGCAGCTGCAAAACGAGTCACGAACGCCACCCTTGCAGAGCAGGTGGCCTCCCTTTCAGCTCAAGTGGCCTTGCTGACGGCCAAGCAAGACCAGTCAGCCTCAGCAGAGATTCCAAAGCTTCCAGGGGCCCTGGGGTGCCTCCAGACTCCGGCCAGGCTCACCCCGGCAAAGGCCCTGCAGATGGTTGGGCCCCCCCCGTGTGAGAGCCAGCCCAGGGCCGGAGGTCCAGACGAGCCCCTAGACCCGCTTCGAGCCCCGAAGGACCCTACAGAGATTGCTCTCAGCCAGCAGTCTGCCGCTTTGACGGCCCTGGTGACGCATTTGATTCAAGGGAACGATCCATTCGGTCTCGACACGTCAACTTCCGGGGCTACCTCGAGTTCCACAAAAGGCACATTGCGAAGAGAGCGGCTCCAGCAAGATTTGGCGGCCCGACAGTCTCAGTTCTTCATGATGGTGCAACAACAGATTTCCAAGAAGCTCAATCCTTCCAGTGTTCTGCCCAAAACAGAAGAAGAACTGCAAATGAAGGGAGCTCCCTTCTGAGATATCTGGAGCGGTATGGGGGCTACCGGGGGCAAAAGGAAGCAGGCCTGGCTATGTGGATCTTTGCCCATGCAATGGATGCAGCAGCTTCCGGCGACTTCATGGCTACAAAAGAGTATTTGGCTCTTGGTGTGATGGCTCTGGAACAGTCTGTTTTCGATGCCGGCGATTGGAGCCTAGCCTATGTTCTGGCCCTGATCGAAGACCCTCCTCATGCACTGTTTCAGGAGAAGATGTCATCCATTACAGCAGCAGGGCGCCCGTTCTCCTCGTTGGTACCTCCAGCTCTAGCGTCCATCAATCTGGCCTATCTGAAGGAGATCGACTTGCTTCAATCCAGGAGGGCGGACACCCGAGCCAAAAAGACGCAGGGGAAAGCAGAGGAAGACGGCAGCTCGGCTTCCCCAAAAAGGAAGCCAAAGTTCCCCAAGAAGCCCAAGGCCCTCACCGAGGGCTGATCATGCACCACTTACAGCGCGAGCCTGAATTCGAAGATGAGTACAATGGTGGTCATCGGGATGTGCATCCTGACTCTGGGAGGGACCTGGGCCACTTTGATCAGCCTAGGCCTCCCCGCTCCCCATTGCCTGGGGGTGACCGAGGCGGGGTGGTAACACCTAACTAAAGTCACCCTGAGGCCGGGTTGAGCCAGTCAAGCTTTGTGGAGACCAGGAAAGCCAATTTCCCAATGTGGTGTTCCATCTTGGTTAAGCTGGTCTTCTTTCACCATCCATTTTTGAGTTCTTCTATCCGTATTTCTAAGCAGCATGTGTGCAGGTTGCCTAGAACTCCGTCTTTGTTCCCTGTGCCTATTCCTGCTGGGGGAGTTTCAGCAGGATGCCCACTTCGACTTCACACGCTCAGTCTAAACGCTCCAGTTTGGATAGAGCAGTGCATACCCTTTGCATGGCCTTGAATTTTTGGCATTGCGGAGGTGCCTTTGTGAAGTTGGACAGTTTGTGGAGGGAGCCGAACCGACAGCATCTTCAGCTGTATTCCAGAGTACGCTCCTTTATCAAGACGGATGGCCTACTTCAAGTGTTTGATGCATTGAAAGTTGGTCGTAGGAATCCAGAGCTTTTTGCACGTTTGGGGGAGTTGACAGCTTTGCTGACAAGGCTGGGATGTTCATCTTCGCCATATGATAGAGTTTTTGCTGGAGTAGAAGTCGTTCCAGACAATACAATTTTTCCTGAATTGGAGCCTTATCGTGACCTAGATCCTCAACGTTTGCGCCTTGCAGGAACAGGACATTGGGATGTCACAGACTTTGTTGGCGATTCTCTGGTAATGGCATACCGTGAGCCAGCTTCAATTTTGTGGCCCCGGGTGCCTGATGCCTGGGAATATCCCCGAATCCGAGATTCTGCAGAAACGATTGCTGAGTTGGCAAAGCTGTGGGACCAGCAAGGTCTTTTGCTGTTGCACCGTGACGGTGTCGAGGAGAGGCAAGATTTTGAATATGTTCGCATCTTCAACTGCTACAAGTCAGTCTATAGGGACAGACAAATTGGAGATCGTCGTGGCCGCAATGCTATCGAATGCAAGCTGCAAGGACCTTCTTCAGATCTGCCCTCGGCAGTTGATGTCTGTGATCTATATATCAATGTCAAGACCCATCGCCTTTTTCTTTCGATCACTGACAGACGGGATTTTTACCATCAGCTTTGGGCAACAAGGTCAAGAGCAGTCAGCAATACTTTAGGACCTGGTCTTCCGGTTGAGCTGGTTTCCGAGACTCGAGCCTACCAGCAGTACCCCCTGCGCCAGACCAAATCGAGGCGGCCTAGAATTCATCAGGGGGACCACCTTGAGAGGATTGCTGCAGGAGAGGATGGACTTTTTAGGACTCAGCCAGGTCCTGATGCCTCTGCACAACCGGGTATTGCTTGGGCCGCCTTTCAGAGTGTTTTACACGGGGATCATGGAGGCGTTGAGATTGCCACTAGCGCCCATACAGGCCTCTTACAGCACTTTGGACTGTTGAGCCCGGACACCATGATGCGAGCAAGTCGTCCCACCTACAGCACCTCTGTCAATAAGGGATTGGTGATTGATGACTATTTCTGCATTTCCATAGACAAGAAGGAGGTTTCCAGCTCAGAATCCCAGGCCTACAAGGCCTATCAGAGTGCTGCGCGTGCCTACAATGAGTACGACATCCTGGGCTCCCCAGAGAAGGACATTGTCGCTTGTGAGTCTGGGAAGGTCATTGGAGCTTTTCGTGAACGGCAGTGAGCTGGCCATGAAGCATGGGGTGTGCACAGTTGCCTCTCCCCCAGAGAAGAGGTTGAGTTTGTCGTTGCTGATGTTGCAGCTATGCGCTCTGCCCTATGGTGTCTCTTCACAGGTGCATCCTTGGGGCGTGGGTTTCTATGCTTTTGTACCGGAGGCCTATGATGAACCTTTTGAATGAGTCCTTTTCCTTTGTTAGCAAGTATGAGGACTGGCCGGAGTCGGCCACCATCCCTCTTGCTTGAAGCGTTGCTGGAGAGTTGACCCTTGTTGCGGTGCTAGCACCTATGATGTTGTCAGACATTGCTGTGCCCTATGAGGAGGTTCTCTATGCTTCGGACGCTTCAGAGACTCGAGGAGCTATTTGCAGTACAGAGGTTGGAGCAGATGTGATACAAATGCTCTGCAAGGTCTGTAAGACAAAGGGTGCCTATACCAGGTTGCAGTCTGAATGGTCCTTGCTGATGAAGAAGGTCTTCAAGGAAGATGTTTGTTTTGAGGAGGAAGCCGTGCCTACATCTGTTGCGCGCCCTATTGCTTTTTCCTTTGATTTTATCGAAGTTTTTGCAGGCGCATCCAGAGTGACGGCTGAGCTTTCTGCTTTGGGCATTGTATGTGGACCACCTCTGGACATTTCAATTTCACCAGAGTACGACCTCAAACAGACTTTTGTTTTGGAGTGGCTATACCATTTGTTGGAGGCTGGCCATTTGCGAGGTTTGATGCTTGAACCACCGTGCACTACGTTCTCGATAATGCGGAGACCGCCCTTGAGAGATGCTGCTCATCCTTTTGGTTTTGACCCCAGTGAAGAAAAGACAAGAGATGGCAATATCCTCTCACAACGAGGGCTCCAGCTGATGTGGAAGGCGGGAGTGCATGGTGCAGCGGCTTTGTTTGAGAAACCTTTCACTGCCAAGACGAAGCATCTCCCCTCATACCAGGCGGTGCGCAATCTGCCTGGCGCCATGGAGATAAGGGCGGACTCCTGTCAATTCGGCTCTCCACATCAGAAGTCTTTTTCCTTCTTGGGGATAAACCTCGAGCTTCAGCTGTTGCAGCGGCGCTGTCAAGGGAAGTGCAAGCATGTACCAGTACAAGGTGTGCACACAAAGGCCTCGGCAATCTACACCCATGTGCTGGCTCAGACTTTAGCACAGGTCTTCTATAAAGCCATCGCAAAGGCAAAACTCCAGGAGGCTGATGATTTTCTGGATACATACGGATTGGAAAATCAGCTGGTGAATGAGTTGATGGTGAGCAGCAAGTGGCAAGTTGAACGCAGCTGGAAATTCAAGCGGCCTTCTCACATCAATCTTCTTGAAATGAAGGCTGTGGAGAGGCTTGTTGAGAAGAGAGCAAAAGAAGGGCCCTCCCGTTTTGCGTGCATCGTCGACTCCAACGTGACCAGGTGTGCCCTTGGGAAGGGGCGATCATCCTCCAAGGCTCTCTCATCGGTGATTAGACGCATTGCATGCACAGCTGTGGCTTTTGCTCAATACATGGTGAACCCTTTCTGCCCGACCCGTCTGAATTGTGCTGATGATCCCACCAGAGATACTCCTCTTCGTGGACCCGTGCGGGGTTGTGATTGGAGGAGCTTTTCTCGGAGGGAGCTTTGGGCGATGGCTTCAATCAGGACAACAAAGAAGTGGGCTTCGAATTGGGTTCGACTGACGTTTTTGCTGGTGGGGCCTGTGTTGACTCAGTTTGCAGATCGCTCAGTGTATCGATGGTCGTTGCTGGCTGATTCAGACAGAAGCACAGTGGATTCAGCGTCGTCTAAAGCTTCCTTGAGCAATGATTTCTCCAGCTTTGATTTTGACCAGACGCTTGGCTTTCCAGGTGAAGGGCCCTCAATCTCAGCTCAACGTCCACCTTCGGCTTCGTCATTTGTGGGTTTTTCCCGCTCTCTCTCTCTCTCTCGCTCGATGCCTGGCATTCATCTCACCCGTTCCTCTTCAGGCTTGTTTAGCCTTTGCTGGTGCTCCTCCGCTGTCTGCTCCTCTTCCCCGGGGTGCTTTGGGTGCTTTAGTGATTTTCCACGGGTGCGTAAGCGCCGGAGCAATGGAACCAGTCACTGCAGCCGATGTTGCGCGAGCAACTGCAAGGGCTACAAGGCCTGAGTTACCGGAAGGCAGACCGACCCTAGAGAGGACTAACAAACTGAGAGAAAGATATTGGCATCAATTTGTTTTGTGGCTTGCTGCTGAAAACATTGCTTTTGAGAGCTTGTTAGCTGAGCATACCCGTTACATAGATGAAATCAATGCAGTGCTCACAGCTTTCGGGAGAGCCCTTTATCGGGCAGGCCGCCCCTACAATCAATATTCTGAAACGATAAACTGCCTGACTTCACGTAAACCTGGTTTACGCCGGTGGATGCAGGGTAGTTGGGACCTTGCGTTCCAATGGATGTCTGCTGAGCCGACGGCTCACCATGTTTCTATGCCATGGCAAGTTCTTTCGGCAATGACTACGGTTTGTTTGATGTGGGGCTGGCTGCCTCTAGCAGGGGCTCTCTGTTTGATGTGGGGCGCTCTTTTGCGCCCTGGTGAGTTCTTGAACGCCTACAGGGTTGACCTCCTGCTTCCAAGAGACGTGGAACACACCATTTGTTTTGGACTGCTTGCAATAAAAGAACCGAAGACCCGACAGACTGGGGCCCGCCATCAGGCGGGGAAGTTGGACGTTCCGGACCTGCTAGCTGTGGTCGATCTTGCTTTTGGTCGGTTGCCAAGCAGTTCAAAGTTATGGATGTGGTCTGGTCAGACCTTAAGGAACCGCTTCTCCTCAGTTCTTGCAGCGCTCCGCCTTCCTACAGAACGAAAGCACTGCCTTAAGCCTTTGGACCCAGGTTCACTGCGAGCTGGAGGTGCCACATGGCACCTCCAGGTGTCAGAGGACGGTGAATACTGTAGAAGAAAAGGTCGCTGGCTTTCGCAAAAGGTCATGGAGGTGTACGTGCAAGAGACGACAGCATTACTCTACTTGAAGCACGTCTCGCCTGATGCGAGAGAACTGGTTCTTGCTTTAGCGCAGCTTTTTCCTCAAGTTGTCAACCTTTGCAGCCAGTACGCTTCTTTGAGTTTGCCACCAAGTACGTGGCATATTCTCCTACAGCACGAAACGCTTGGACAAGGTGGGAAGGTGGGCATGTTGCTGGTGTGTGAAATGTACCACCAGCCTGTGAACCACCATGAGGATAGAAGAAAGAAGTGCGCATGGAAACCATGACTTCGTTTTGCGCGTCTCAAGCTTCCCAAGTCCCTCCCGCCCTACGTGCTGTAGTCGAGGGCATGTTGCTGGTGTGTGAAATGCACCACCAGCCTGTGAACCACCATGAGGATAGAAGAAAGAAGTGCGCATGGAGAGGGAGTGGTTATATAACCATCCACTGCTTTTCCTCCAACTTGTGGGCCTTTCTACAAGTCACTCACCAGTGGGCCCTTTCTAATTCTACATTTGTTGACCGTCGCTACAAAGGAAATCGCTACAAAGTATATACGATCATGCGTAGAGTGGCGGGAGGGCAGTTTCTTTGAATAAAGCCGTCCATACCAAACAAAAGTGAAGACAGACACGAACCAACGATTAGTTGCTGCAGTTTGTTCAGCTTGGCCGGGATTTTCTGCCAGAACTGGGTGGGGTTCTCCGAACATTTTTTTGCCCAAGCAATGTAAACATGTAAATGGACATGTACCATAAGATCGACACCGTGGATCACTTACTATTTGGAAGGGATGCACCACCAAAGTTTCTTGGAAGACCCCTGAAAACCTTCCATCCGATTCCTCTTCAGACCCCTGCTTGCCGGTGGTGACACTCCAAGTGCCATGCTCCAGCCCGACTGATGTGCCACTCCGCCGTCGTCGCCGAGGCCCATCCTCTACACCCAAGAAGAGTTGACGGCCCGGGCGCAGGCTGCGACACCCTGGAACAACTTTAAGCTGAGCAGCTAATCGATCAGCGAATCCTTGGATCAAATGGGATGTGTCACCAACACGACAATTTGGGAAGATTGGCCGGTGGGACTGCTGGGCCTCAAATGACGCACCGTTGCACTTCATGCAGATTAGGTGGGAACTCTGGTTCCAAGATATAGTGGTGTGCGGTATTATAGAAGATATGACCACTACTGAAAGTAGGCGATCTTCTATTTGAACAGGGCCGCAGCAAATATATTGTATATGAAGCGCCTTCAAGATTTTGCGATTGCGCTGCATAGATATGCGGTCATGCTCCAACCTGGCAAATGATAGGAGACTCAACAAAAAAGATTCGTTTTAACACTGTTCTAAAACATTGGAATACCATAGGGGACTCACAAATCCGATGATGCAACAGCCGCATATAAAAGAATTGACCGTGCCACATTTATAGTTAAATCTGTCGGTGTGTGCCATCCTCAAGTGTTAATGGACATAGCCATGGATTCAACCATGTACAGTATCTAGGTAGTAGCTATGAGTCGAGGCACAAAGGTGGTAACTAACTAGGATGAGCATCCACAAGTTAGAAAATGGATATTCAAGGCGAGCTCATCCACCAAAACAAGGTGTGACCAGTTTCATCTAAGAGGAAGATCACTGCAAGTTTCAAAGGCGTCCAGTAAACTCTGACATGTTTGAGATCCCGATGTTTGGGATCCCTCCAGGGTTTTCAATCTACTTCCTCACAGAGAGAGTGCATCATGATGTGCCGCGCATGACACCATACCCCAAAGTTTACATCGAATTTCCCTACAGGGCCTCACATCTGAGCAACACGCATTTCTAAATTTGCAGCCTTTGTTACTAGTAGCTTCTTGTTACTAGCAGTATGGCCAGGAGCTCGTAGCTTCTTGCTCCTAGCAGCGATGCCCTTTGTTTTTCGTTATTAGTAGCTTCTTGTTACTAGTAGCTATTTGCTCCTAGTAGTAATGCCCTTGTTACTAGTAGCGATGCCCTTTGCTCCTAGTAGCTTCTTGTTACTTGTTACTAGGATTTGACCTCGTTTGACCCAGTTTCTCCAGGCCCTCCAGCAAGAGGCCGAAAAACTTGGTGGGTGAGGGAAGCCCAGCCTGCGTTTGAGCCCGCCTGCATTTGAGAGAACGAGTGAAAAGGTCCACCCAAACGATCATGGTGTGTACGTTATACTACATCAAACACCATGAGACGTGAATAATTCCGACCTCACTTCACTAAGGGGCTATGATGGGCTAGGTTTCTTTGAGATACTCGGTTGCTATAGGTTACTAGGTCAATGTGTTTGAAGCAACCATTTCAAGTCGTTTTGCGACAGAGATTTACTCTACACACACGCATATTATCATATATTATCCTATCTTCTTGGCACCCAACAGTTTGCCACTCATGTCAAACTCATGTGAAACTCAGCCTTGATACAATCCTGGATAGAGCATCATATCACAGTCTTCATCACCAACACTGAGTGGTATCTGTATTATGCAACTGTCATGTCCATGTCCTCAGTTTGCCTGGTATGTGTCTCGAACAATGTGGGTCGTTCAGAATGGCCGTCAGGTACCGCCGGGCTCCTGCCTTGTGGGATGTGGGGCCCAAGGTGCTGGCCACTCGGAGAGTCGGGGAATTCATCGGGTGAAAGCATCGATCTCAGAAGATTCGTGCCAATCCCACAAGCGATTCTTGGCCAATCTCTCCACAAACCACCCCTTCACCACTTTGGGGTTTGAACCAAGAGTTTTGAGGGTTGCAAGTGACACATGAGAAATTGTGATCCACTGGGCAACGTGCTGCGAATGTGGATAGATGTACCGTCCACAGAAATGGATTTCGACGACGCAACCCGTGCGAAAACACTAAGACTATCACCGGAGGACCGAACTGAAGTAGACCGTATACAGTATACTCAGTAAACGAATATCAGTGAGTATATACGGTCTTTCGGACATATATACGGTATATACTGAGGTATGTATACTCAGTAGACCGTATATACTGAAGTACCAGCGAGTCAGGAAGATCTTCCAGACAACGAGGTGTCTGACACCGTGCGGTGGGCGCCGTCAGGCCTCCAAGTTCAAGATGCGGAACCCGCCCAGCTCCTGTGGGGTGGAGGAGCTGGTTCCAGGGTGGGCCTTCAATTCCTCAAACTTTTCAGGTTGATGTATGTTGTCCTTCCAAGCTTTTTCCCCAGATAGCTGGAAGCTATAGGGGTTCTTACTTCTCAATGGATGGGATCATGATTGCGGAAATTGGCTGCCGCTGCCGCTGCCGCCTTGTCTCCCAAGTTTGTCTCCCTTCATGATAC